TTTACATGTAGATGTTTCATAATTCGCAAAATTTTCCCCGCGTTTCAACGTTTGTTGTATATTCTGAACCCATGTGTAAACTTTTGAAATGTTCCCTTAGGGAATATCTCGGCAAGCAATTGGAGAAAGAGCAGACTAGCGCGTCTGGACCGCCCACCAGCAAGCCTGGAGCACAAGTGCCAGCGAAAGCCTGAACGCACTCGCGCAACTTGTACAAAACTTGCGGATTCGGTTTGGGAGTACAAGAGTATTACAAGTCGCGTGTATCGCGCAATATATCGTGGTGTAATAATCTGCATCCGCTTGCAAGACGCGCGAGTTATTCAAAATAGTTACATTCCCTTCCATTCACTATATTGTAAAAAAAAAAAAAGAATACACAATCGGTTATACTTTTCTCTTGTGCAATCTAATTTTGTAACATAACTGTTGATCGTGAATTATGTACATATAAATTCGCGTAAACGCGGACGTGCCATTTACATAGCCAGTGTGAGACGGATGCACGAGAGCGTCGGCGGAACGAACGTCCCCGTGTCATGCGCGCAAATCTGTTTTATGTGTATAAATAGAAATTTGTTCTCTGGAATGTTAGCAATATAATGAAAATAAAATGTTATTCTGTTGAGGAAGACGGCACACGTTCTATACAAATGCGCACATGCATACACAGATACATACGTACAGGCAGATTTCGCGCGATTACACCTTGTTAAATGCCAGTTTGATATTTATATTGCAAGACGCGAGCTGAGTCACGAGGTACTTGAAGATATACGGTACTTCGATACTCTTTATGGACTCCTCGTTGCCGCAAAGACGGCACTTGGTGCTCTTCTCATAGCTCAAAGACGCTATTTCCGTGACTGGCCCGAGCAGCGTACCGCACGACTGGCAAATCGAAGTCTGCAAATGGATGTTAATTATTTTATTAATTACTGTTATTACCATTAAGTTAATTACTGTCCTTTACACGCATAAGACTAGCACGAAACAAGAATAGAGACGAGTGGACATTGACCATCATCTGGAACTTGACAATCCAGCAGATGAGAATAAACGTGTGCCCAGTTCAAAGGATTAAAGAAGACTTGTATCTCGTCACTTACGCTTATTTTGTCAGAGCAATGGAAGAGACGGTCTTGAAGAAGATACGAGCAGCCGTGAGAGAGCAGAGCATCTCGCTCCATCTCACCGAATCGGACACCACCACCACGTCGGCGACCTTTGATGGGTTGTCTCGTCAGTAGGTCGACCGGACCAGTGCTCCTCACCTAGAAACAAATTATGCGTTTATCCGTTCTTACGATAACTGACATTAACGAGATACGATTGCTAATCTGGAGGTAGTAATTGGAAATAAGTGAAAATTCGAATGTTGAGGGCGAGCAACGAAAAGATGGAGCAAAAGAGCGAAAAGACGTTCTCGTTATCGACATCTCAAAAAGAGAATTTAACGTAAAACTTGGTTACCTGCCACTTATCGGAAACCATGTGCCGCAATCTCTGATAATGCACAATTCCGAAGAAGATGTCGGCATTCATTTCGCGTCCGTCCACGCCGGAATACATTCTTTCGGTCCCGTAGTAATTGTAGCCAGCGTGCTCCAACAATTTCCCGAAATAATCTATCGCCGTGTTTTCCTCGTCGAACCTGAAGGGCGTGGCGTCATGAACCAGCCCGTGCACAGCGGCCGACTTGCCGGCCATCACCTCGATCATCATAGCTGCGACAACAATGATTACCCACGATTACAGCCAACGTAATTATCGAGACCGTTTTCCTTTGACTCAAACTCACCTATTGTCATACGACTTGGGAAACCGTGAGGATTAAATATGATGTCGGGGATTAAGCCAGACTCCGTAAAAGGCAGGTCTTCCGAGGGCCACTTCTGCGAGCAGATACCCTTTTGTCCCGCCCGCGACGCGAATTTGTCGCCGACGTCGGGATTCCTCTGAAGATTCGACGGGTTTAAAAATATTAGATATATGTGTATAGATATATATGTATAGATGTGCGAAAAATATTATATCTGTAAGAGACATCGTGTCTGCAAAAGACATCACATAATGATATGCTAAATTGCTTGGTTCATATATTATTTTTTAATAGGCGAGGCCTACAGGAGAAACCATTTAAAAGAAATGTATCGACAATAATATATATACTTTATGAGTGACGTGGAAACTTATTTTGCCATGATAA